ATATATATATATATATATATATATATATATATATATATATATATATATATATATATATTATTTATGTTTTTGTTTGTTTCAAGAATTAGTGTTTATGTCTTTATGACTTGATTTTTAGCTACATTGGGTGCATTTCATATGAAGGAAATTGAAATGTTCTTTATCATGGAAATATTTTGGTTATCAGTTTTTTTAAAATAATGAAAATCATACCGCATGTTTTTTTGTGTGTTTATGATTGTAATTTTTTTTTCTCGTAGTGTTCGGCCAGTTTGCATGCACCTCGGTTATTTCATCGGGTATGGTGATGGATGTTAAGGAAGGTCTTTTTAAGAAAAAGTTTAATTAAAAATTCAACTTTTCAGAATTGGAAAATCGTGACCTGTTTTACTTTTTTACGTGTAATTGCTTAGTTTGTTGCATGGTATTCATGGCCTCGTTGATTTCTACAAATTTATTGATTAATCAAAGATTTCATTTTGTTGCCTTTAATATGTATTTTTAATAGGCAATGCATGTTGTGATAACAATGAAATCTAATGTGGTTTTGATTTTTGTATATATGGCTGTGTGATTTTTTGTATATTCGACGCTTGCTTTAATAACTCCAATGATTGTTTTTTGTAATTTTTTTTGGTTCCTTAATCTTAGTCATGCTATAGATTTTGTTGATTTTGACTGAGTTAATACATGCTGATATATATATTCAGAAGGTCCTAAGGGAACATCATTTTTGGTGGTTTTTTTTGGGGTGGGGGGTGGGGTGGGGGTTTGGGGGTGGGGTGGGTTGCTCTTTTCTTGTTTGCAAGTAGGTGGCTTCTTCTACAAATAGCTATTTGCTACACCTCAGCTTTTTAGTTGTTATGGAATTGACTGGCACTGATGTACAACAACAACGACCCAGTAAAATTCCACAAATGGGGTCTGGGGAGGGTAGGGTCTGGGGAGGGTAGTGTGTACGCAGACCTAGACCTTAACTCTACCCAGATGGGGTAGAGAAGCTGTTTCCGATAGAACCTCGGCTCAAGAATTATGTCTCATATATTATTTCAGTTGTTAAAAGCTAACTTGAATATTGCTTTAGTATTATGAAACTATCTCTGTGAGATTATCGTTTTAGTCTGCTTCTACTAATTGTAGGGAAGTTCGAAATGTGAAGAAACCGTTCACTCCTCCACGAGAGGTGCATGTTCAAGTAACTCATTCCATGCCACCAGAAAAGCGCGAAATCTTTGATTCTCTGCGCGATTGGGCTGAACAGAATATCTTGGTGCACCTAAAGCCAGTAGAGAAATGTTGGCAGCCTAGTGATTTTCTTCCTGATCCCGCCTCTGAGGGATTCGACGAGCAGGTCAAGGAGTTAAGGGAAAGGTGTAAGGAAATCCCTGACGACTATTTTGTTGTATTAGTCGGGGATATGATCACAGAGGAAGCCCTTCCGACTTATCAGACCATGATAAACACGTTGGATGGTGTTCGTGATGAAACTGGCGCGAGCCCAACTTCGTGGGCTATTTGGACTCGGGCGTGGACAGCCGAGGAAAATAGACACGGTGATCTTCTCAACAAATATCTTTATCTTTCTGGAAGAGTTGATATGAAGCAAATTGAAAAGACAGTTCAGTACCTGATTGGTTCAGGGATGGTAAGATTGTTACCTGATCTTATGCTATCATATAAACAATAATTAAGTTTCAAAATGAGGATGAAAATATGTTAGTAAAAGTTTAGAGGATCAAATAACAAAGTTCTCATATGGTGTTTAATCATAAACATGATTAAAAAAAACAGGTTTGTTGAGGTACATTAGCTACATGTTTCTAACTTTTCACTCTCTATAAATAGAATTGTTGAGATCAGAGGCGGAAGGTCAGGGGTGCCCACTACTAATATATCACTATTTTTCTAAAGACATATACATGTATATGTAGAATTCTTGTCAAATTTTATGGGTGCTAGTGACCCCTCTCTATATAGTATAGGTCCGCCTCGGGTTGAGATTGAACTTGTTATATAATCATTTTTGTGCTTTGCATGAGCCGGGCATCTATCAGAAATAGCTTCTCTACCCTCGCAAGGTAGGGGTAGGTAACGGTTGCGTACGCACTACCCTCCCTGACTCCACTTTAGGTTGTTGCTGTTGTTGTTCAATTTGGTTTGTACTTGATTCGATTTACTACAACACTCTTATGTTTCCAGGATCCTCGCACGGAAAACAACCCCTATCTAGGTTTTATCTACACTTCTTTTCAAGAAAGGGCTACCTTCGTTTCACATGGAAACACAGCTCGGCTCGCCAAGGAGCATGGCGATATGAAGCTAGCACAAATATGTGGTACAATTGCTGCAGACGAGAAGCGCCATGAAACTGCATATACCAAAATCGTCGAGAAGCTACTTGAGGTTGATCCAGACGGCGCCATATTGGCTATTGGCGACATGATGAAGAAGAAAATCTCAATGCCAGCTCATCTAATGTATGATGGTAGGGACGACAACCTCTTCGAACATTTCTCTGCTGTAGCTCAACGGACTGGCGTATACACAGCCAAGGACTACGCTGATATTCTGGAATTTCTGGTGGCGAGATGGGAAGTGGAAAAGCTGACCGGTCTTTCTAGTGAAGGACGCGAAGCACAAGATTATGTATGTCGATTGGCTCCGCGAATTAGAAAGTTGGAGGAGAGAGCACAAGCAAGGGCTAAGCAGAGGAGTCCTGTTCCTTTCAGCTGGATTTTTGACAAAGAGATTAAGATATGATGAATGCATTGTGTTGGAAGGTAACATAGAAATGTTAAGTAATTTGAGGGTGGGTATGTTATGAAGTCTGTAATCTGTCATCCCTTTGTTTAGGAAATGCAATGGAGTCTCAAGTAGAGTCTTGGTTTTTCTTTTGCTTTTTAGGCCAAAACATACTAGTTATCAGCAATAAAGACAAGCCTACACTTTTCCTTTATGTATGAAGAATTAACTTAAATAGCTGTCTATTCAACTGTGGCAAATGTATAACAAGTATATAATTAATGTATAATCTATGCTATTTCGAATAGCAAAAGTAAACAGTGAATTCGATCGATCGATTATTTGTGTAAAGATCTCTTTATATTGGTTATGACTTGATAGATTGATGAATCAAATGTTAAGTGGGCATATACAAGAAATCTAGACTGATTTCTCAGAGTCAAAATTATTGTTGCTGGTTGGAATTACTAAATAAGTAAGAATTAACAATTCAATATTACTACAACATTTTTTTTGGTGTGATTTTTACCTTTTCACCTGTGAAAATATTGACTCGCAAATCAACCATAAAGTAAAATAGTATAGAAGACAATAGCCAAAAAACAATTGCATTTCCAATTTCCTCATTACAAAAGAACATATATATATATATATATATATATATATATATATATATAATAAACCATCAAAGAACACAACTCAAAACAAACAAAGAAAAGAAGAAAACCCAAATAAACAATTAATTTAAGCTATGATATAATAGCTTTACCCCCTCCCACTCCCACTCCCACTCCCCCCAAGAAAAGACCAATTTATATTACTACTTAGACTTGAAAAGGCCATGGCCAATTCTTGATATCTTCCTCATCTTGAACCTTAGCACTTCTTTTCATAGCAATTGATCCACCAACAACATTACCATCACCTTCCACATAAGAATAATATTTCAAGAAAAATGCAAGTGTAAGCACAACCCACTCAAGGCAAAATATCAAAGCACACAATCCACCACCCAATCTCAAAATCATTTCACCATCTTCTTCCCTAACATAAGACTTTAACTTTCCAAGAAAATCACCCGTTCTTGTAAAAATCAGCACAAAAACAGAACCCTGCAAAATGGCTGTTAAAACAGTTGAAACCATGTGGGGTCCATACCATTTTCCAGTTCCTGAGGAAGTGGAAACGGCGGCGCAGCCAAAGACTGCGCCCCCAATTGTGAAAATGTGGAGAAGAATGAGGAAAAAGCCACAGAGCGAAGGGATAAGGCGAAGAGAAAGGGTCAAGAAAATGCAGCTGGAAGCTGCTCCAAGAAGAATGTAGTTGCATATAAGGAAGAATTTGCGAGTACGATGAAGTGATTCAGAAATTTCTGCATAACTAGTGAAGCCCATTTTCCCTTTGTGATTATAAAGATGAGGCTCAAGAAAGTTTTTTTTTTGGGTTTTTTGTAGATGAAGTTTTTGCAAGTGAACTGAGGACAGAGATTAAGGGAGTTTTGGTATATAAGGTGAGGATAATGGAGGTTTTTGTGGGTGGTGG